TGTTCGATATCTTTAGCCCTGCTCGTCACACTGTGTTGCTGTTCGGTGTCAGCGAGAAGGAGGCGGAGATGCTCGGTGTCGTCCGCGCTTTGCCTTCTGACCTCGTCAAGATCTTGCTCGTTTCTTCCCCTGGGGAGGTGCACGTTACGACCAATGATGGGTCCAACATTGTCGTTGAGGATAAAGACGGCCATGGGAGGAAAGGGTATGGTCTGGAGGGGCAGACGAGTCCTGTTGTTGTTGTGGTTCGCCCGGACGGCATGATTGGTGCTTTCGCGACCTCGGCAAAGGGCCTAGAGAAGTATTTCTCCCTGATTTTCTCTCATGCTTGAGATTCTGCCGGTTAGATACCGCAAGGATTACTAAACGCTCGAACAGACGAAGCAGCACTGTAAACAAATGGGTTTAAATGTAAACGTTCAACAAACATTGAGCCCAGTACCGGCTCCAATCAAAGGCGTCTCTGCTTTCGACCAAGTCGGACGGGGCAAGATTACCTCTCGTGCTCTTCTACCTATTTAAGTGGGTTCACAATCAATGTCAATGACCGACGGACTCGTGCTGTCGCAGAAAGCGACGCTCAAACGCGGTATGCCTGCTCAAGTGTTCTTATAGACATCATTGGGTTTTGACTCGTTCGTCTCGACCATGGGGACCTTGTCCTGTAGCCGCTGTCCAACGTAATGCAGAAATGGAGGACATTGCGTAAGATTTCATATATCATGGCTATTGTGTGCGATCAGCCCGCACCGAAGCTGTACCGGCTTGACGACTCTGCGGTGCCAAAAGGTGAGATGGTCACGACTGGCGGGATTAGATGGCGCACATGGTGGTCTGCTCGGCACCAGGGACGGTTCTTCTACGTGAAGCACACGCAAACGGCGGATCAGGAAAACGGTCTCGAAGTGATGCCGCCGGTAGGCAAGTTCTGAGGAGGACGGTGTAGTAGTCCGCCGGAGTCGTCGCAATCGCTGCGGCAGAGACGGCGAATGTTAGTCGAGTTATGTAATCCACAGAACTTGCACAGGATGCGCGAATGTCGCAGCAGGTAGCCTGAGAGCCGCAAGGGCGCGCGTCTGCCCGTGTGGCACGCATCACAAAACTCGTACGCGCGCTGCCGAGGCGACGTGCCACATCAAATTTGATCCCATCTCGGACTTTAGCAGCAACTTACGACTCGACTAAATACACTCGGCAACATCAAACCCGCTTATGTCAGATACGTTGGTGATCCTGTAGTCTCAGGCTGTAACTGGGCAATGGAGGACAAAATATATATATACGGGGCGACAGACAATGCCTTCCTCATCAACAACGAGTACTCCAATTGAACTACCTCCGACATGTCCTCCCCAACTGTCCTAGTCGTAAGTGAAAGACCCGCAACTCCCTGTCTCATGCTATATTGAAGAATTTAACTCGCAGGTCGGTGCTGGTCCATCGGGACTCTTGCTCGCCCTGACGCTGCTCAAGAACGGTGTCTCCGTGCGTATCATCGAGAGAGATGCCGAGTACCATCGTGGCGAACGCGGCCCCGGAATTATGGTGTGCACCACCTTCCTTTGCATGCGACTGCGATCCCTAACCGTTGCAGCCCCGCTCGCTGGAGATCGAGCACTTCCTCGGCGTTGCCGACGACGTCAAGAAGGCGGCGGCGCGCAGCCTGGTGCTCCAGATGTATGACCCTAAAGACCCGTACAAGATCATCAAGAGCTCGAACATTTTGGAGCAGGTCGAGCCCACTCCGGCCTTCCCTGAGGTGCGCGCCCGCTCTTTGCTCCGGTCGAGCTGAACAGATAGCTGACTGAGACGCAGACGGTCCCGGCAACGCTTGGGCAGTGGAAGCACCAGGCTATTCTCCGCAAAGCTATCGAGGCACTGGGATGCAGTGTCGAGCTGGGTACCGCCTTCGTCTCTTTCCAGCAGGATGGCGAAAAGGTCGTCACGCAGCTCTCCAAGTCAGCTGACGGGAAGACCGTGACGGAGGAAGCCGAGTTTGCCTATGTCGTCGGAGCAGACGGTGGGCACAGTACGTTCTTTTTATTATCAACCGTTCTCGTCGCTGTGACTGAAAATGCCACAAAGGCACTGTGCGCAAGTCTCTCGGCGTTAAATTTGTCGGAGAGACTCGTGAGGAGGGCGTGATGTTCGTTGTCGACTGTGTTGTCGAAGGTATTAACGGGAACAGCGTAAGTGCCATCTGTGCAGCAGTTTTGGGGGACTCATAAGCAAACCACTGGTACCGTCAGGATCTCCACGCCTGGGGGGACACTACCAGTGCCTTGTAAGCCATTCTTAAGATTTGCTCGGTCAACCTCACTAACCCATCTTCTATAGTGCAGCCGTTCGCCATACGGGAACAGGCCAAGTATTCCAGGTGATCCTTTCTGGTCCCGACGTGGACTACGCTACCTTAAAGAATGAGCGTAGTCTCGAGGCCCTCCAAAAGGCACTCAATAAGGTGACCGGCCGTAATGATCTTGTGAAGGAGATCATCAACTGGCAGGGAGAATGGAGGTATGACCATTCGGACGTTCTAAGGAAGCGTCTAAAATTGAGCAGCTAACCCGAACTTCAGGGCGAACATTCGCATGGCAGAGAAATTCCAGGTCGACAGGGTGTTCCTTGTTGGGGATGCCGCTCATACGCACTCTCCGACTGGGGGTCAAGGCATGAACTCGAGCATCCAGGACGCCGTAAGTGACTACGCCGCTGCATATGCCCACCCACTTGGCTAACGCAGCTCCTTCCCACCAGTTCAACCTCGGCTGGAAACTCGCACTCGTAGTAAAGGGTCATGCGCCCCCGGCTCTCCTACCCTCGTACGAGATCGAGCGCATACCCGTCATCTCTGCCATGCTCGAGATCACGACAGACCTGTTCAACCGCACGTTCGGCGTCGACACGCAGCGCAAGCTCGCGGACGCACACGCCGCCGAGCAGGCCGGCGCTGCCGCCGCCGCCGCCGCGGATCGCGAGCAGATCTGGTTCCGCGGCAGGAAGCTCTACCAGCTTGATGTCAACTACCGCTGGAGCACGATCGTCCTCGACGAGCGTTTCGCCGGCGGCGAGAGCACGCGTGTCGCCTATGGCGAGCCGGGCCAGGACGTCCGGGCCGGTGACCGTGCCCCCGACGCGCCTGTGAGCGTCGGTGGGACCGACACGCGGCTGTTCGATATCTTTAGCCCCGCTCACCACACTGTGCTGCTCTTCGGTGTCAGCGAGAAGGAGGCGGAGATGCTCGGTGTCGCCCGCACTTTGCCTTCTGACCTCGTCAAGATCTTGCTCGTTTCTTCCCCTGGGGAAGTGCATGTCGCGGCCAATGACGTGTCCAGCATTGTTGTTGAGGACAAGGATGGCCATGGGAGGAGAGGATATGGCCTGGAGGGGCAGGCAGATTCTGTTGCTGTTGTGGTTCGCCCGGACGGCATGATTGGTGCCTTCGCGACCTCGGCAAAGGGCTTGGAGAGATATTTCTCTTTGGTTTTCACTCATGCTTGAGATCTGGACAACTAGATGCCACGACCTTCTTTGCAGTTATAAATTTATCCGTTAGATAATTTACATAATTTATCCATCCACGTTATTATTCGATGCGTCTCGGCAGGAGTACTTTAGCTTGAGCCAGCCCTGGGTCCAGCGCCAATCCCAGCCTAGACGTTTTTGCTCCCGTCCACCACGGCCGCATGTACACAGCTGCACGGATGAGACTGAGGTAACAGTATCTGAGAGATATTGAAAATCACGCGGGCGCGATTTCGGTCATTCGGGAATCTGATCATTGAGCATTGGTTTTTGTCTGACCATGTCACACAAGTCTCAAGATACTCCGCATTCGAGAATCTGCCAATATTCTCTGCACTAATGAATCATGAATGCATGAGTCCGTGTGCTAAGAATTCTGCGCCTAAGACTTGTGCAAACGAGTCTCTGTGCTCGCAGCACTGACCGCCGTCGTGAGATGACATGAAGTGTCGACAGCCTGAGCATGAGCCCGATGAGGCCAGTGTGGCACTCACATGAGGCGATTTTATTAAGTTACAATGTAAGTACAGCGAGACTCTAGCCTGCACACGGTCACCCGGACCTCACTAACGAGACCCCAGTCTTCAGAAGCAGTCGTCGGTATGGCTTCG